CGGAGAGGCCCCGAGGGCTGGAAACCGCCTCCGCCTGGAGCATCCAGGAGCGGCTGCCCTCTGCTTCCCGCTCCACACCTTGTCCTACCCACTCTGAACTGTCCAACTGCACTTTCCAGCCACTGGATTTTTCTGCCTTTTTTTTTTTTTTTTTAGACAGAAGCCTATTGTTACCAAATACCAATTCCCGGTGGAGGTTCAAATTCCTTCCCCTCCCAGATGAAATATGCTAACTTGCTTACTCTTTTGCTGGGAGACACATTTTCCACCCAGAGTCAAATAACTCCTGTGGCTCTTTCCTGAACCCTAACCAAACTCTTGTTCACACTCTGAATGAGCTGTCAGTTCCCAATGGTCTTGCTGATGCTGGGAGGAGAGGCTCTGTCACATCCATAGGGGGACTTGAGGTCCCCTGTACAGAGAACAAGAACTAGCCCTGCTGAGCTAAACAAGAGCCCACAGCAAGGTGCCCCAGCAGCACCTCCACATCCTTTCTACTCACTGCGCTCCAGGAACCCACTGACCTCTCATAAATGTGACCAGTGTTCTTGGTTCCTGCTTTCACGGATCAGTGTGTTGTGAGGGCTGTGGGAGCCCAGCGCTGATTCTTACAGGAGTTTTGTTCTAGACTCATGCGGTTCCATCCTAGAAAATTTACAGGACTTGCATGTGGCAAGAAATCTCCAAGCTGACAGTACGCAGTGACAGACAGTTTGCTGTCATATGCACGTCCAGTCAAAGTGCCACATTCTGCTGTCTGCTCTAGTGATGTATTCAAAATTGCTAAATGCTCTCTATCCAGAGCTGAAAGTACCCTGCAGGCTATAAGCTTGCTAAAATGCACCTTCGGTGAACACTGTAGGAGATAGACTACGTGATTTCTATTAAAGAATCATCACATGTCAGTTGGACAGCTACACCCAAACTACAGTCAAATGGCGTGCATCTGCAAGAACACTGACCTTGGAGATGGCTACGCTAAGTCATCACCCCAATCATCTGCTAGCAACAGGTCAGCCAGAGAGTTTCACTCAGCACTTCAGTCTTGGCTGCGGTGATACATGTGGGGCTAATGCAGCTTCCAGAAAGAGACCTGATCTAGATGCAAAGCATGGAAAATCCAGTGCTTCCCTTGGGATTGTATCCCAGCAGTCATCTTCTTCAGGATTCACCTGTGATTTCACCTGTGTCTGGTTTCAATCTCCAGCCATCAATTCCTGCCCACCTTCTCTTTCTTCTTCCAGTGCTAGTTACACTCTTCCTAAAGGAACTCATTTTTCTTTGAAGGAAACAGCCTGAGTTCCCCATATTTGCATTTAGTGAATCTAAACAACATGAAACCTTCTCATTTAATCAAGTTAGTAAAATCCTCACTGTTCTTTTTGCTACACTAGTTCCAGGGTTACTGGAAGCTCCACAGGCACCACTTTTGTTCAGCTTTCCAACAAACCCAGCTTTATCTTTACTATCTTGCCAAGAATGCAAACTACTGGAACTAGTTCATTGGATCCCTTCTTCCAGCCCCTTGGCTAATCCATTCTTAATTTGCTTCATGTAAACCACACTGATATTGCAGAGAGCTAATTAAAGCAGTCAACTGAACCACTCTGGAGGAGTAAGCCACAGGGAGAGTGCATCAAGAGGGTGCAGTTGGCCTTTGCAGTCAACAGCTCTGCCAAGGCAGGCACTGCTCATCTAACACTTTTACAAGCTTAACAAGCTCTGCTTTCACACTAGCTGAAGTTTCTTACTCCCACCACTCTTAATGGAAGCTGTTTCAGGACTTTGCTCCCGTGTTGTCGAATTTCCTGCCTCGATCTGTTTACAGCCAGTTAATCTCCATCTGTTGTTGGCCAAATACTTTTGTTTAAAGACTGTTCATCTCCGACATCTGTTTCCTGAAGTAATTATAAGGAGCACTCCCATTCTAGTTCACCTTCGTTTTGTCAGTCTAAGCAGCCAGAGAAAACAGAAGATGCTCCTTTCTTGTACAGGACTGGGGACGGAGATGGGGCCACACACTAGGTACAGGGCAGGAATTTCAGAAGGAATCCAGCACCAGCTCTTCAGAGATGAGCTGAGAGCTATTACCTAGTTCAGACCAAAGCTACTTTTAACAAAACTAGCCCATGGCACTGCAACAGTGAAGCTGCTCAGCACAGAGTTCAGCAAAATTGCCCATCTCCCCAGGAGCACTGGATGAAGACAGGCTGGCAGCCTGCGTGGAGCTGTGTGCTGTGCAGTCTCAAGTCAGTAAGCAGGTCAGTTCCTGGCAGAAAGAAGAAAAGAGCAGGCCTTTTTAGATCAGTCTGACCTGCACATGGGTGGCCATGACACATCACCTCCTCACCTTGCCTTCTGCCCTGCAACAGGGGACTGGCTGCATGCAGCTTCTGCAGAGGCAGCAAGGAAGAGTGTGAAAGGATCTCAGAACTTGCAGAGCCCAGAGGGATTTGGGGATTTGGGCAGCACCCTGGTGTCTATGGGTTGCCTCTGCAAATTGTGGGAGCAAGAGTAGAGACACTCACCACCAGGACGTGCTCCAGCAGCTCCAGGTATCCATCGGCACATTCCCTGCCGAAGCGCAGCGCTCGCTGCCGCACGTCCGCGCTCACCTCTGGGTGATAGGCAGCCTCCTGAGACAGAGACAGGGAGCCCAGATTCACATCTGGATGTTCCTCCACAGCAACAACTGGGCTTGTGCCAGGGACCCTCAGCTGCGGGTAGGGCACACGCTGCCCCCCACAGCACCCGTGCTGGACTCCACCAAAGCCTGGCCAGGCGCGGGTACCTTGCAGGCGCGCAGCATGTCAGCGATGGCGCGGCGGCTCAGGTTCGCCGTGGCAATGACATCCTCCTGCCGACACGAGTTGCCAGCAGCCACAGCCTTGGCTGTTGCCATTGTGATGCCTTTTGTCATACGGATGAAGTCCTCTGGAGTTGAGGTCTTGGCAGGAGGCACTGGGCTGGAGAAGACCTGCAAGACAAGAGGCAGGGGTGAGCTGTAAAGGCAGGTGGCAGAAAGGACATCGGCTGAGGCACCAAGGCTGCCTGGTTGGAAGCCCAGCCCATACTCACTGCCAGCTCTTGGCGTATGTGCTCTATCGTGGCCTCCAGTGCCCGCGTTCCCTTTGTGGCCTCGTCCTCAACAGCCTTCACAGTCTTCAGCAAGGAAGTGACATTTGTGACCATCACCTGTTGAAGGGAGAAAAGAACCAGGTTGATCCCATGCAAGCTCTTGGATACTGCTTACACATTTTATTCCATCCTGATTTGGCCCAAAATTGCCATTCCCCATACTGCAGATCACATCACCTCATTTTCTTCTTCCAATAGTGCTTCTCTGCATGTCATGTATTCACCATGTCTGTGCCCACCCCTCCCCTCATGTTCCTCGCACGATGACAGACAAGGACAGAAGGTCTCCTACCCTTTTTCTAGCCCTCCTGCCCTATCCATTCTTCCCCATCCGCCCAGCACACTCCAACTCAGACCTTGGCAGAGTTCTTCAACTGGTAGACAGCAGGGTCATCCCCAGCTTTGCCGGCAGCTGCCTTGGTGGCACCGATCAGGTCTCCAAGTGCCTTGGCCACATCCTTCACAGCATTGATCAAAACCACCTGGGGAAAGAAAGATCAGGGTAATGGCTTTGTGATGGTCACACTGAGGTTGGTGGTAGCCCACGAGTGAGACATCTGGGCACAGATGTACCTGAGTATCCAGAGTCCAGCTCAATCAGCTCTGCTGAGCAGCCAAAACCCAGCCAGTCCTCACTGAGACACACAGAGCCCAGAACAACACAAGACACCCTACACTCTCAACTTCAAACCCAAGGAATTTATGAGCAGCCTCTTTTCAAAGCAGACATCCCTCCTACCTGAGTCTCAGGGTCTTCAGAACTTGGGCTGTCAGCCCCCAGTTTCACCACTTCTGCCAGGCGTGTGATGGTGGACACAGAGGACTGGGCAGCCTGGGCTAGCTTCTCCTGGCTGGCTGTGGCATTCTGCACCAGCACCTTGGTGTCCTCCACCAGCGCCTTGGCTGTCTTCAAGATGCCCTCCCTGAGGAGAACAAGGGTCAGAAAAAACACAGCCCTGTGTATGTGCATTTATACAGTATGTTAAGCACTGATAGTCAAGCACCTGCTCTCTACATGGACACACACTCCTTGCATAGCCACACAACGTGCTAACAGCCTGGCCATGTGCCGCAACAGAGAGGCAGAGTATAACTCGTGTGTGCGTGAGGGATCTAGAAAGATGTTAAGCCCAGCCTTCGATACATAAGATGAAGGAGAAAGAGAGCCAGTGTGACCTGGACTTTGCACGTCTCCTTAGGCTGGTCCACAACCAAGAAAAATAAGAGAGCGTGGGATATGATCCAACTCCCCAACTCTGGTTGGGTTGTGACCAGACGAGGTGCTGTATCTCCCACCCTGGTACCTGTGGTCAGCAAAGGTCTCAGAGTTCTCCCGGTTGAGGGTTCCTGCAGTGGCAAACATGATGGTGGTGTCGAGATCAGCAATGATGCCAGAGACAGCACTGGCTGCTGTAATACAGGCCTGCGTGCCGCGGTTCCCAGCCTGCAGGGCTGCCAGCACGTGAGACACCTGAAGAAAACATGCAGAGTGACTCGGAGAGCAGGGCAAATACAGGCAGCCTCTACTATACACATTCTCAGATACCTCTACAGGACAGATTCAAACTAAGAGGAGAAAACAGTCACTATGGGGTCTCAGCATCCTTTGTAAGCTTTCATTTATTTTTATCTTGAAGTTAACCTATCAAGTTTGGAGATACAGGACTCCTAATTTCCAAATAAGAAAAGTTTGAATAATGGGTATCAGATTGTTATAGCTTATTTCCTTCTTTAACTGTTAAACTCATTTCTTACTACTTTGGCAAACACTCATAGCAGAATAAGTTTCCTGATGGAAAGTAATCTTGGAAAGGAAAAAGCATGCAGACACATATCAGGCAGTATGAACAAAATATTTGTTTTGCTTTTGTAAACTTGCTTACAAATATTGCAGATTTATCCTTACCAATGAGGTTTTTAGCCACGCTTTTATCTGTTATTATTGTGTTCTCTAGACTGACAGGACACTTTCCACCAATAACAGCAGAAGGTGCAGATCTACCACCCAACATGAGCTGCTTGCTAGAGATGCAGTGAACACGACCCGTCCCACTAAGGCGCTGATCTAGAGCAGCCTAGGCTGCTGTTACTGCACCTGGCTCAGAGGTGGTTCAACCCAACACCCCTCCCTTCACCTGCTTTGCACAACGTTCCCCGTCTCCCTGCTGGGCCGCTCACCTTCTCGGAAACCTTGCGCGCACTCTCTATCAGCTCCTTCTTGGTGTAGGCATCATTGGGGCTGCACTGCAGGGCGCCAGCCTTGGTTACCAGGGCAGCACAGCCGTGACCCAGCTCCTGCACCCGGCGCTTGATGTGGGAGCCAATCTGGAAGCAAACGTGCATATCATCTAAGGAAGGAACTAACGCTTGCATCTGTGATACCTAATGGGAAAAGCCAATCGCTCCCTCTCTGCTCCAACAGGAATTCCCAATATTGCCCCTCTCTGTTAGTCCTTCCATTCAGGAGACCTGCTGCTGCCCTGCCAAAAGGAAACACAGCTTTGCTCCACATTTCCACACGTTTGCCAGGAAGGTCTGAATGCTGCCTCCCCTCACCTCTGGCAGGAAGTTTGAAGGCCTCCCAATCTCTGCTCTCACTCCAGGAAATTCTGCTCTTCCCTATGACATACACCAGTACTTTGGCCCATGCTTACAGGCAGACTTCATGGTTTCACGGCTCCTACCTCTTCATTCTCAGCAGTGAGTGCTGCCAGCTTGGCCTCTTGTGCCAGCTGCCCATAATCATTGGTGAGTTGGTTGGCCAGGGTGCCCAGCTCATCAGGGTTGGTAGTGGATTTGGTGACCTGCAGGTGGAAGAACAGAAGTCAGAGAGACCCTATGTTGGGACAGGCAAGCAAGGAAGGCAGTGTCCCCAAGCTGGGTGAGATCATAGGCCCACTCCACTGTCTATTTTCTTCCCCTCTGGAGCAGAGGCATGACCAGGGGGACAGTGGCATACTAGCTGGCCCTGGCACTCACCATCTCCTGCACAGTCACTGCAATGGCTTTGGCTGTCTTCACCATGGTAGTCTGATAGTCCACAAAGGATCCCTCTGGCTCACCCACTGGTCCCTCATCCAGCTGCAAGAGAAGACCAGAAGAGTTTGGCAACAGCCCCAGCCCACAGGGGTTGAAGCCCTGGGTCATGGAATCTACCATACCGCCAACGACACCGGCAGCGCTGGCTGCCTCATTCAGTGTGGTGGTCAGGTCCTCCACGGCTTCCTTCATCATCTGCACGGCCTCCTCCAGAGCCTCCTGGGTGTGGGCAGCTTGCTGCAAGGACAAGCTAGAGTGAGTGAAGGCAGCTGCTCCCCAGAGCCTTCCCACCCACAGGGCATGCTGCACACTTAGCCACATTTGCACACACGCATGCGCCTTGGCATGTCCTGGGGGCATCTCTTCCCTCCCCTCCAGACAACCTCTTCTCAGGTCTTCATATCCAGCATCCGTACATACTGCATATAGTACGTGTAGAAGCCCCTCACACTTAATCCACACGCAGAGGAGAACATGCCACAAACATGTACCTCCTGCTCACCTTGGGGTTCCCACCAGCCTCCTTGGCAGTGTACAACATCTGCAGGGCAGACTCAGCCAGGGTTTTGGTCTGGTCCAGGAGGTTCATCTGCTGCTGGTGGTTGGGTGTTTTGGAGATCGCTGCCATAATGAGTGGCTCAAAGTATTGAGCCATCTGGGACACCTAAGAAAGAGCAGTATTAGTGCCAGCACCTTCCATCGCAGGCTATGGCGATAGCTACAGCCTCTGTCCCAGTGTGAGCACCTCTGTACACATTTACCTGCCTAATCAACAGCTCCCCACCCCAACCCCTCTGGTTACCTTGTGCCCCAGCTGAGAGGCCTCAGCCCGGGCTGCACTGGCCACTGGTTCAATCAGGTTGCTGATTTCTTGAACAGCTGTGATCATCTGGTTGTGCAAAGCCTGGCGTAAAGAAAGCACACGGGGTAAGGCTACAGCAGGGCTGGTGTCCCTGGGCTCCACTGCGTCATGGGGAGGAAGGACATCTGTCCCAGTTAAGCAACAAGATCACAGGGCTCCAAAGTGCTGGCTTATTGGATGAGTATCTGACTTCTCAATTCTGGATATAGAGAGTGCTTGCAGACATAATTTCCTAGGTACAGCACAGCTCAGCACACTGGACAGGAGCACAGTCCAGCTCTATGTGGCTCGGCCAGTCACATAACCACCTGAACCATGCAGAACTGGAACAAAGCTGCCACACATTGATGGGGACTCAGAGGACAGGAAGATCCCTTTGAAACTCCATTCAGGGCAACCGGCCTCAGCCTGGGAGGAGAGGTAGTCCCAGGGCCTCAGAGCAGATTGTGATGGGTACTGGCAGCTGAGAGGGGCAGCTCATCCCAGAAGGAAGATGAGACAGCAGAAGCTGCAGCTTGGGGTGGCAAGGCAGAGCTCCCCTTTCCAGGGCAGTGCTTGGACCACAGGGGAGAGTTTGGAATGAGCCTGCCTTGTCCCATGCTTGGATGGAGCCCTGCAACATGAGGATGTGCCAGCAAAGAAGCCCTGGGTGAAAGGAGAGGAAGCCAGCAGGGACTCTGGAAACATGTGCTAGCTGTTGGGCACTTCTCATTTGCAGGGGACAGACATGCTGAGGCTGGGAAGGCTTTGGAGCAACATGTTCCCCACTCACCTCCTGGGAAATATCTTCTCGGGGGGGCAGCTGCTGGCTAATGGCAGCAAGGGAAGCCTGGTCCACTTCCCGCATACACCTGTTCAGGACCTCGATGGCCTCGTCACACTCCCTCTGTCCAGGAGCTTTGTCCCTGCACGACAGATGGATCAATACCACGCCAAGCGTGCCTGGCACTGGCATGTACCATGGCACCCTATCATAGCAAACTTTGTTGGTGCCAGTGAGGGGCAGGACCCCTCTCCTTTGCCTTGAGCAACTGAGAATCCAGAGCTATGGCTGAGGATGCAGAGATGGCCACAGCACAGCCCCCACTCACCTCATGTTGGTGATCAGCTTCTTGATGGAGTCAGAGACCGTGCGAGAGTGGCCAGCCAGCACCGACCACTGGGGCGGGTCCTTGGGGTTGACGGCTAGAGAGCGGGCGGTCTGGATAAGGCCCGCGGAGCTCTCCAGCATGGTCTTGGCAGAAGAGATGATGGGCTCCATGGCTCTGCGGCCCTGCGCAGGGAGACAATGGCCCAGTGACCCAAACACACAGTGGTGCGAGGGCATAGGGGAGAGACATTACCCCCTCTCCTGCAGTCCTCGCCCAAGAGCAACCATTTAAGCCTAAGGCTCTCCTGCCTCCTCGCATCCACTCCAGGCACGGGCCCTCTGCTAGGGCTCATCCCTAGCTCAGCAGTGCCTCACACTGCCAAGCGCAGCTCCTCTCCATCTTAAGGCAGTTCCCATCCCAGCCTGGCTGTCTTCTCCCTGTCTCTGTGGGATCTCACCTCGGGGCTGATCTGGGCAGGAACAGTGGCAAACTCTGGGTTGGAGGCAAAGGCTGTCAGGTTATCCACAGCCTCTATGAGAGGGGCTGTAGCTGCACGGCACCTCTCCCGGTTCTCCTCGTTGAAAGCACCATCCAGAGCCTGGCACACAGGAGAGACCATGCAATTATCTAAAGCCAGCCATGCCCCAATTCCCACCCAACTGCTCCCTAGTCCTTGCCCACCTCTGTAGGGCTACCAACAGCAACCTTGACAGGGAAACCATACCTTGATAGTCTTCACCAAGTTGGCAGTGCTGTTGGCTACTTCCTTGGCCGACTGGACAAACTGGCGCTTGGCGACAGGGTTGGCAGTGCGGGAGGAGGCCAGTCGGCATGTGTTGCACAGGGCTGAAGTGTGTTTAGCTACGATGGTGGCTGCTGACAGCACCTGTAGAGAAAAGAAGAGTGAGGCAGGATCCCAGCATCTGCCCGCACCTCCAGCTCTCCCTTCCCACCAGCTCCAAGCCCACATGGGGCAGCAGGGTGTGCAGGGAACATACAGAGCAGGGAAATGCCAGCCCTCACCCTGTGCCTCCCTAGGAGAATCACCAAAGTCCTGCATGCCCTCACAGCCCCTGTCACTGTGTTGGCCAAACTGCCAGCTTGTTCCCTGTATGGCTGATTAGGCCTGATGAGACACTAGCCATAATCTCAGCCAGCTCTTTGGACTCGGCTCTTTGGGTAGTCTCTCATTCTCTTTCATCCAAGGGAACATCCCCCACGTCACCCCATTTCATACTCACCTGGGACTGTGTGCATGCAGGGTCCACGAGGTTCTGGCAGGCCATTTGGATGGCTTGGTTGGCTCTGGCAAACTGAGTGGGGTCTACCAAGCCCTGCTGCCCCGCCTGGCTGTTGGGATCTGAGACACCCACGAAGTAGGCGGCCTGGGAACAGGAAACAGGGTGTGAGAATGTGCCCGCAATGGAAGGGGAGCCAGAGCCCCAGGGCAGGCGCATGGCATGGAGGTGAGCGGCACAGGAAGGTGTCCCTGACACTGCACGAAGTGGTCAAGGAGGCTGTGTGGAACACAAGGTCTCACCTGGGCTGCTGCCTCTGTGAGGCCACACAGAGCTTTGGAGGCTGCACTGATGGACTCTCCGAACTCCGGCAGTTTGCTGTTCTTCGCGTTCTGGGAAATCCCAGCCATGGACTCCCCCAGAACCTGCAGGACACACCAACCACCACACAGGGCACCACATACGTTAGTGACTGCATGCTCCCAGACTCAGAGTTCACTGTCCTTCACAAAAAGCATATTTGTAACCTTGAGGAAAAGGAATCAGGTGAGGAAGAACTCTTCCTCTTTCCATCTTTGCCTCTATCCCTCCCAAACTTCTCCATCCTCACACCCCTCCAAAACCCTTGTCCCCAGACCCACTCCCATCTCAGGGCTCACCTTGGAGTTTTCCATAACACTATCAAGGCAGTTGAAGTAGGACATGTCATTAACGGTCTGAGTGGGGTTCTCCAACAGTTCCTTCACAGTCTGCAGGGACACAAGTGTCAGATTAAGGAAATCACTGTAGCAAGGTCTGTGCTCTCCAGCTCCCAAACCTGGCAGTGCTCTCATGCAACTTGGTGTAGTTGCCCCTCTCCCCACTCCAGTGATGGAGGCACCCCACCTTGTGCTACCCAGTCAAGCCCCCACAAAAGAGAATCCCCTGGACATTGAGCCCCTCTGTGATGCTTCCTGGTTCTTCTCACCTCCAGCTCCCTCAGAGCATTGTCACACTCCTTCTGGCCTGGAGCCTGCTGGGTGCACATCGTGATCAGCTGGTTAATGCTGTCAGTCACAGCCCTGCCAGAACAGGAGAGACATAACCATGGATTAATGCCAGATCCATCACCTGGACCCACTGCTACTGCAAATAGCATATTGACTTGTCATGGGGGATGTCCTGGCTATAGCAAACAGGTAAAGGCTCTGAGGCACATTCCTACTCCTCCTTCAGGGTCTATCTCTTTTGACAGACCACCACAGAGCAGCCAGGTCAGCTTTACTCTAGACAAGTGATCTCAGGAGAGCTCAACAGCAAGTTGAGCCCCATCGAGGCAAGCTCCGGGTCTAGACTCTGCCTCCCTTTGCTGCAGGCCCAGACCAAGCCCTTGTCTATCTCCCTTGATGTACAGCAAACAGTTCCTCCTACCGTGCAGCTGCTGCTAGCTGATTCTTGAGATTGGGGGATGTGGGATCAGCAGAAAGTGCCTTCGCAGCCAGCAACAGCTTGCTGGAGGACATGGAGATGCTCTTCAAGTTTGACACCACCTGGGCCTGGTCTTCCTTAGTCTGGAAGAAGCCAAGAATAGTCACCTACAGGTTTCTAAAGTCCATGCCCACCCAGCCTCCACCCACGGTCCTCTGGCAGCCTGACCCCAGTCTTCCAGGCTAAAGCTCCCTTAATTCAGCTTGTTTGCCTGCTGCTGTATCCTTGCTACTGTCAATTAACACTTGCAGAAACAACCCAAGCTATTCCTCCCCCTGCTACTGCAGCTTACTCTGCCCCCAGACCCCACTTCACCAGTTGCGTTATCCACAGCCACTCATCACAATCCTCTAGCCACTGATCCCTTGGCAACTCTGCCCATGGTCAAACATCTTCCTGGGCACCCAAAGGCCTCTCATGATATGTCAGTTCACAATGTGTCACGAACAACAGGCATTTGCTCTCACCGGGGACAGGCTGGCCATCTCCACTCCAGCCTGCAAGAACTCATTGAAGTCTTGCCCAAATTTGCCAGAGGACTTGGCCAGGTCTTGAGGGGTGCCACGTGATGCCTGCACCAGCTCGTTGGCAGACTGGTTGAGACCTGCTGCTGCTTGATTCAGCTGGCTCTGCGCTTCCTGGAAGCTCTTGTTGCTGGGTGGGAACTGAAGGAAGAGAAAGAGATTAGGAGCACTGGAGAGACTGGGAAGAAGTCAGAGATGGAGGAAGAAAATCCAGCATCTAGGAGTACACATTGTGGCCAGAAAACCCCAGAGCAGCTGCCTGGCTCTCCAGCAGCAGGGATTTGCAGCACACACAAGTAGCTTACATGCTGCTGCTTGGCCAGACCTGACAAAGCCCAGTGTGCCCTGGATAAGTACTGAAGTACTCACAGTACTGAAGATGTTAACGTGTACCTGAAATCCAAGCCTTCCTGACAGAAAGGCTACTTAGGGACATGCTGGAGAGATTAGCTCCTGTCACCACCGCAAAGCTTCCCCATTTCATCCTGGCCTGCCTAACTCACCGAATCTGCCAGCAGCCTCTTGCTGGCCTCGCCCACGGTACGGATGGCAGCGTCCACATCCCGCTGCCCAGGGAGGCAGTTCACACAGCGATTCAGGGCCTGAGACACTGCCTTGGCTACCTGTGGAGAGTGAGAAGGTCACTGCCACATGCACATCTCCTCCAGCACTGCTGCACCACAGAAGCCTTTACCAGAGTCCATGCACTGTGGCTGACACCAGCCTTGCATCCTTCCCTGGCTGCAGGGATGTGCCAAGGATGTGCCAAGGGTGCCGGGGCCTGGTTCTCACCTGGGCCAGACGCTGCTGGCTCTCTGGGTCACCAGGCTTGGCCACAGCTTTTCGTGCTTCCTCAATGAGGTTGTTTGCTTTATCCATGACATCGCCAGCGCACTCCAGCATGGCACTCTGTGCCTGCGGGTCCGAGGTGTTGGCTGCGATGCCACGGGCAGCCTGGCTGAGTGACCGCAGGGCCTGGGCCACCTCTCGGGCAGCAATTCCTGTGGGAGAGGGGTAAGGCAGTGATTGAAGCCAAGCAGAAATAACAAGGTTCTCGCCCTAGAATGCACCCATGCCTTCCACGTGCTCTGCCTCATTCAGGCCAAGAGACCAGGCAATCTCCCACCACTTCTGGATCTTTCTTCCTGTTCCACTGAGCTTCTCATCGGCATGGAGCCCTCTGGCTTGTGTCCTGCTCAGAAACAGCTACCCCTGAGTACAAGGGATCTTTACTAAGGGGTGAAATTCACTCCTGCACAAAACGAAGGCTTAGCCCTTGCCTATCTCCAAGTTCAGTCCCGAAGCTAGTAGTACCTGTGTAGTTCTCGTTGCCCTGGGCCACCTCTCCAAGGAGGTGAGCAATAGCAGAGCTGACAGCTTTCGTGCTGTTCCCCAGGTCCTGGGCACACTTCTCCATCTGCGGGATGATCAGTGATAATGTATCAACGGGTTACATCTCCAGCATCCACCCATGCATTTCCCACTCTCCCTTCTCTGACCTCAGCCACAGCACCCGCTACTCTCCAACACACTGCTCCCACGCAGCACCTGCTGCTCCTGCTTGCTCACCCAGGCCCCTTCCCTGCCTGGCCACCTCCTCCCAGAGCCCTTACCGTCTCTCCCGGCAGAGGCTTCAGTTTGCCGTCCCTGGCAGCTGCCTTGGCTTCCTGCAAGTCCCTCTCCAGGCTCTGCACAAGGCCCAGGGCAGAGTCTATTTCCAGAGGCCCACAAGCCTCCTGAGCCTGCAAAGAAGAGATGGAAAAATGAGTGAGGAACAGCTGTATTCACCTCGGTGTTTTCGAGAACTCACCTTACAACAGGGCCACTCCCACCTCTGTGCTAGCATCCCATATTTAGTATGACCGAGGCCTTGCAGCTGGTCAGAACTATTCTCTTACCTTCTGTGCAGCCGTACGGAGCTCAGCCAGAGCTGCAGCCAAGTTCTTGGCACACTGGCTGAGCTGCATAGCAGAGGCCTGGTCTGTAATGGTGGGGACAGTGGCCTTGGCTGCAGCTACCATCTTCCCACCGGGCTGCAAGTCCAAAAGAAAGGTCATGAGAATGGGATAACATGCAGCATGTCGTCTTTGCCCATGTCCAACAGGTTTCCCGGTGCCTTGGTGGGGCAAACAGCACAACACAATTTCTAATGCATGCAAGTGTCAGAGCCCACAGAGGATGCTCCTCGCAGAGGGAGGACACAGGCGAGTAAAAGTACCTGCAGGAAGTTCTGGCTGGCAGCAATGAGAGCCAGCTGGGCGCTGGGGCTGTCCGGCTGGGACTGGCTTCCCCGTACGCCTTGTACCAGCATCGGGATCTGATCTGCCACAACCTGTGACCAGGGAGGAGAGTCACTGGAGAGGCCCAGCCAGGAGGAGACGCGAAGCACACACAGCACCTTCCTGCCAGTCCAGCCTGGCGCTCTGTGTGCTCTGCCCACTGCCTGCAACTCCCTTGGCTTTGCCACGTGCAGATCTGACTGATAGTAACTGTGTTTATTCCCAGATCATTGGTCAAAAAAACAAAACACAAACAAAAAAAAAATCAGATTTGGATAGAAACCTAGTCCCCGCAGAACTGCGTTACAAATGCTATCCCTAGGGTCTGTTCTCCAACAACAACTCCACTTAGGCTGATCTACTGATATTAAACAATGATAATACCTCGTTCGAGATGCTGTCTTGTATTAAGTCAAGTTTTAAGCTTTTAAAGATTTTATCAATCCATTTTGCAATCTTATAAAAAGGTATCCCATTAACACAAAAAGCCTCACCCCCAATTTGACATTTTTTTTTCTTAAACTAAGATTGCCCAGAATTAACATGTTAAAATATGAGAATATAATGACAGTCTCATGCCAGCTTTTCCATAATTTTTCCCCAGAGGTAAGGGAGGTTTGTAAATGTTAAGGACAAATGTTTCTTCTCAGAGCAGGGGTGTAACATTCATACCTTTGCAGACATTTTTTCCAAGAAAAGGAACAGTCATTAAAAATGTGTCCTTAGCTACTGTTAAGGCAGAATTCGAGGACTCTAAGGTAAGAGCTGTTTCTTGCATGCCCAACCTCCTGTGGCTGAGCACAACGCCAAGCTGGCTCAGCTGTGCCACAATGTGGTTGATCAGACAGAGGATAGGAGCAGCTGGCACAGCCTTGGCCACTGGGCAACGCTGGAGCAGGGAGAGACACTAGGGCACAGCCTGGACGTGGCAGCACAGCAGGGTAGGGACAAGGGGCTCCTCACCTTGCAGCTCTGCACCAGCTGCTGCTGCGCTGCGGGGTTCTTGTTGGAGAGTGCTGCATGCTGCGCGGCTGCGATGGTCTGCGTGGCCGACGCTGCGGCCTGCTTGGCCGCGTGCTGCAGGGTGAACACACAGGTTAGTGGCAAACCGTACAGGACAGTCTGTCCTGAAATCCTGGCCCAGAAACTCCTCTTGCCACAGAGTGGGGACCCAGCTCCCTGTCCTAGCTCCTTCCAAGCTTCTGTTGTGCCTCTGCCTGCAACAACTTGGCATCCCAGCATCTTTGATGCAGGGGATTAGTCTGACATCCCAAAGCAATGAAGTTTGCTCAAAGGAAGGGAGGAACCTGGTCAGAGACCAGGAAGGAAGATGACAGAGTAGGAAGTAATAACGAGGTCTCCATGGGGAATAGTGTGGACACTACTTAACTTCGTGAAAGTAGCTTCATCACTCCAGAAAGTGCAGAGATCACTGTTTTGTGAGCTGATCTCACAAGCTAACCATGCCTCCCCATGTTGTAGCAGTCCTCTGCCTGAGTGCAAGATGAGCATCTTACCTCAAGCTTGTGCACAAGCTTTTTCTTAATGGCGTTCTGAGCTGCAGCATTTGTTGCCATGCGGAGCCCCTCAGCTGCTTCACGCAACCGCTGCTGCTGTTCCTTGCTGTCTGGGTAGGCTGCAGCTCCCTGGACAAAGCACAAAACCCATCAAACCTTTCAGCACCCTCCAGGTCCCTTATCCCCTCAGAGCAGCTGTTGTGCTCTGTCCTGACAGCCGGCTGTGTCCCCAGCAGTTTGACTTCCTACAGGAAAGGGAGATGCTGAGGTGCTAAAAATCCCCCCAGAAGAGCTCAGCAATACAGGAGTTAACAACATCTCTCCTTGGTTATTATGTGCAGCTTCAGGATAGCTCTACATGTCACTGCACAGGTCCTCAGCTCACTGCAGGCCCTTACTCTGGAACACTGGAAACAACTCCCCTGCTCTCCCAACACCTTGAGCAGAGGAGAAAGCCTTGGCCATGAAACTGCACCCGAGTACCTGACAGAGACCCACTTCCCCAAGCAGGGACTGCTGGTGAGCTGGGGGCCAGGTCTGTGCTGACACCAGACTGGGTTACGCAGAGCAGTTCGTGCTGCCAAAGCAGGTGCTCATCCTGCCAGCAACTTCTCTCCCTGCTTCTGCCCCTCACGCAACGAACCTTTGCAGCCTCCACCATCTTGGCAGTGGCGTCGGCCAGAATCTTGGCAGCACTCAGCAGCTTGCGCGAGTTCTCCAGGTCTGTCTCTCCCTCGGCATCGGCTTTGATGGCATTGACCAGGTCGGAGGTTGCCTGGGCCAGAATACGAGCCTGCCGCACCATCTCTCCTGGCAAAGGGAGGAAAGGCAGCCTGTCAGCCCTTGCAAAAGCGTTTGCAGTGGCCAACAAATCCTTGATACCTGCCTAATAGAGGCTCTGCACACACTGCTATCATCCTTAGCAGGCTTGTTCTAGACCCTGCCACAGCAGGAGTGTGAGCAGCAGGGCTACAGCAAGACACAAACAAGCTCCCCAGTGAGCACACAGCAGTTACATGGAAGCATGACCCTGGTAAAGAGAGGGTTCCGTTTATCTGCCCTTTCTCCAGTCCTCACTGCCTGCCCCAGGTGTCATTAGCTGTTCTCACCTGCATCGCCCATGGAGCTGAATATGTTCTCGGTGACGTTAAGGATGGTGTCGGTGGCCTGGTCATAGCGCCCAATGGGCTGCCCGCCCGTGGCGTGCTGCTTGATGTGCTGCAGCAGGTCGTTCAGGGCCTGCGTGACCGCCGTGGCTGCCATCCCCACCTGCTTGAGGAGCTGGTCATCGCTGGTGGCTGCTTTGGAGGCCTCCACACAGCCCTCCGCTGATTTGGCCACCAACTTGCCAGCCTCAATGAGCTGCTCCTGGCAAACCGGTGAGCTGATTGTGGGAGCCACTACCTGGAGGAGAGGAGAAGGGCTGGGCAGTGAGCAGGATTCTGGTACTGCAAAGCTGCTGTTCTCTACTCAGCAGCAGACAACCTACAACACACATAGCTACTACACCCAAGCCCTGCCTCTCCAAAGTGGATATCCACCCCTGGGACACAGCAACAGCTACTCCAGGCAAGCTGAGCCAGAGGCAGCTGAACCTTCAGGCCCCAAATCCCTAAGTTGCAGCTCGAGGGGATGAGGAGCTGGTCCTAGCACAACTACAGTACAGCTTTCCTAGCGTAAACAACGGCTCCAAGTCCCTCCCACAGGTAGGTACAGGCTGGAGCTGCCACCCCTCAGGTGGTGCTTTCTCCCATGCTGAAGCAAGGATTAACGCTGTCCGGCTCCAGGATGATTTCCTACCTTGGTACAGGCCACCAGCTGGGAGGTGGAGAGTGCGCACTGCGTAGCGGCTGCGATCACCTGCGTCTGCAGTGCCGAGTCCTCGGTTTTCTGAGCCACGTTCTTGGCTTTCAGCACCAGCGCAGCAGCGGCACTGGCCACAGCCTTTGCCAACTGCATGAGCATGTCCTGGGGGCGATGGAGAGGGTCAGCACGGGAACCGGGATGGGAGCCATGCACCAGCTGCTTCACGTGGCTCTCGTGAAATATTCAGCAGGGAAACATGAGCTCCAGGGGCCTTTCATCCACCCCAGGGCAGCACTGAACACCTGGAGTGGCTGGCAACACCCTGGTGTGAGCAACAGCAGCAGCAAGACAGCAGCCCTGCCTCAAGCTGCAGCCCGCACTGCGGCAGCGCCCAGTGCCAGGCACTGTCCTGACCACAGACACCTCCAACAACAGCTCGGGCAGCATTCAGCATCACCCGCAACACCCAGGACTCAGACACTGCATCAAATCCCTGACCACACTGCAGCAAAAACCTGCTGCAAGGCACCATCAGCAACAGCAGGCTTCGCATCCCAGAAACACTTGGCTTTGGCCAAATTGCAGGCAAAATCAAGCCATGGGTGCAATCACCCAGTGGGCAGCCCTCAGAACCACCCTACGGCACTGCCCTCCCACAGGGCCCACACTGCAGGCAAGTAGGAGATCCTGCCCCAGCTGCTCAGTCATATCCTGGGGACACGGGCACATATCTGACAGGCAAGAGGATCATCCGCTCTGTACCTTTGGGCTACATCTTGGTTGTCTTTTGCACAGGCTTTGGAGGAACACAGAACCGCCCTGCTAGCACAACAGGCACTGAGCAGCACATGCAGGCTACCTCCTAGCAAGGACATCTGACCTCACTGTGACGACACAGCTCTAAGAATTCGTGCTGGTTTCTATCAGCAGCACCCACAAGCGTTTGCCTCACTAGAGCCACTGTTCTGCACTGCACCATGGCCAAGGGCCCTGACACAATGTGCTGTTCATAGCACCAAGCTCCCTGCCTGCTGCTGCAGGTACAACCCCATTGCAAACTGCAGCTAAGCAACTGCCCAGCCCAAATCCTCTTTTCAAGTACACTCACACACACTGAGCACACCTGCATCCCACTACTGCAAAACCTCCCAACACCAACCCCAAAGTATTTCATAGCCACCCTGTGGGTTTCCACCTGTTTCTCATCACTTCCTGCAAGCAAAGCCTGTTTCTGTTACAATCCACCACCGTTCTAGATGCAATGATAGTCCGGACAGCACATGCACCAAGCTCAGGAGTCCCAGGCCCCCAAGCCACAGCAACTACCCAAGAAGAAATCCCAAGAGAAGAGCACAGAGGAGGGAAGTAGATACACTCGGGTCTTGTAGCTGACTGGCAGAGTGCCTTGCACATGTACAAATTACAGTCCAGTTCCTAAATCTGCCACTTGGTCCTAGTAGCATCCACTGGTTGAACGAGAGACTTGGCATGTCAGATCTGCTGCAGGGGTATCTGCAAGGGGCAGAGAAAACTGGAGCTGATTTCTCAGCTTCTCTTGGGCTGCCTCTGTCCTAGCACTCCTCCATACCATCACTTTCCCCTAACTGTGCGCATTCTCCTCTGATGAGCACCCACCCTACTGCTAGCTTTTCTGTTCTCTTTGGCTCTCTGCCCAGAAATTTCTGCTCATACCCAGGCCATGTGGCCATGCTATAGACACGTCTGAGTTCTGAAGTGTGTTTCAGCCCCTACTATGGTTAGATCCCCCTCTCTGGCATGCTCTGTTACCCACCTTGTGCTGGAACTAGCAACCATAAAGAAACAAGCCAGCTGGTTCCAACTCACCAAAAAAGCATGAGGCTTCAGCTAGTTCAGCTGCCTGATCTGGCAAGTCAACATCACCGAGTGGTACAAGGGAACCAGAAGGAGACCAGGAGGCTGTTGCAAGGGGTGACTAATATGGCAGAGCTCACTGGAAGAGTGACCCGAGTGCATGAACTTCTGAGAGTCAATCACAAGAAAAGCAGATTTTTTGACAAGTGCCCTTCTCCAAAGAATTCAGCTGATTGGTCCCAAAAGAGCAGCCCTTCCATCAGAGAGGGGCAGAAACACCGAGCCATGCCTACAGCCCCTTTTTACCGTCTTTGGGTCAGATGTGGGCAGGATCCAAGCACGCCGGCTTTCTGGGATCTACATGGGAATCCACAAGATAAGAGGCATTATTTAACAGGGCTCTAACTACAGAGATGGGAAATGGCCTGTCCCTTCCCCTGGCAAAGTCACCATGCACAGCCTAAGCTGTAGTATGGACAGCTCCTCCTGGAATGACCCCACGTAAAGACAGATGGTTTTATTGAGCGTGTGTCTTCAGGTACAGTCAGAGCCCCACCACTCACCTGGAACCGAGGATCAGTATCACTTTCTCCGATTTGCTGCAGCAGTTCTCCGCTTGTCTGGCCCACGAGGCCGGCGGCTTGCAGGAGATTCTGGCGGGGCTGCAAGGAACAAGGCAAAAAATCACTCAGGATGGAAATCAAGCTCACCCTGCTCCTCCCCTTCGCTTCTGTCCACCCTACCCCAACCCACGCTTCCTCCAACATGCCTCCTCAGCCCCATATGCCCCTCACACCTCAGCACTGGCAGGTTGAGCAGTTTTCAGCAAGTCCGAGACGGCGCTTGCCAGGTTCTTGGCTGCCTGCAGCAGCTGCCGTCCGTTCCCTCCCTCGTCCTCCATGAGCGCGGCCAGCAGTTTTACACCCTTGGACATCTCCGTCAGGTTAGAAGATATGGTGGTGACAGCACAGCCCACGGCTGTGTAGTCTGTATCTGCTGGATCCCCTGCAGAGGGAGCAAATAGGAGCAGGGGAGTACGGACACATTCCAGTGACTCCCCAGGGCTATTCCCAAGCCTGTAACTGATGGGATTCACCTTCTCGCGAGTGGAGAAAGAAACCCCTCCAGCTCCAAGGCCTTGAACGTGGACTCATTAGTCCTGAGGCTGGCTTGTGCACCTCCAGAGCACATAGGAAAGAGCTACAGCATGTTGTGGTGGTGGCCACCGGTATGCCAGAGACAACAAACTTGTGGTTCAGACAGCCAAGACAGAGAAAGGAATAGGACAGCCTGGGTACAGATAGGGATGCTGGGGGGTCTCAAGGCAGTGGCAGCATGTCTGGTTCTACAGGCACACTGGCAGCAGCCAGGGTTCAGTTAGCCTGGGCCAGGCTGGCTCTGTCAAGACCCTGAGGAAGGACAGGAGACTCAACTCCAGCCAAAGGCCAGAGGAGATCAAGCCTCTCCCACAGACAGAGCTTTCAAGTAGCCCTTCCTTCCACCTACCTGCAGTTAGATTGACCACCGAGGCTGTGCCAGCAGTGATGGCATCCACTTGAGAATGGATCTCATGCTTTGACTCGTCCATCTTGTTTTTTCGCCAAGCTTTGGAGGCCTGAAAGGAGGAGATAGGGATCAGTCCTGCCTGGTGCTGGTGTGCAGTTGTACACACGCTCACAGAGTGCGATGCAGGAGAGAGGAGACAAGAACAAAGCAAGGAACAAAGAACCGTTACCATCCAGGACTCCTCATCCCTCTTCTAAACCCGAAAGTGTAAAGAGAGGCAGAAAAACTGTCAGAGAGACGAAGCATCCTCTCTGCTCCTGCCCCTAGAGTTGGATACAACTTGACCTCTTAGTGGGGAGCAGAACTTCCCAGAATTAGACCCCCTCTCCTGAGAAAACCACCAGTCACAACCAGCCTAACCAGCAAACAAACCCTTTCCAAAGAGGTTCCTCCCAACCCAAATAAGCCAGTACCCCCTCTTCACGAGGCACTCACAGCATCCTGCCCAAGAGGTGGCAAGGTCTCGAAGTCATCCAGTGTGGCCTGGGCTGCGTGTACGGCCTGCATGCTGGAGTTGATAGTGCCAGTCAGGGCTTGCTGGGCTGAAGTCTGTAACACAAGGACAGACTGAGGTACAGTGGAGGCTCAAAGTCCAAGGTTAAATATCCAACTTTTTTGCCTGAGCACAAAACGGTGGGAATAGGCTGTCGAGAAAAGGGAAGGGCACCAACTCCAGTAGCAGCAGGGATCTGCTGCAAACCAAAGCATTGGTGCAGCTGGCTGGGACAGCAGCTAAGAGCCACACTCAGCCTGAGGACTGGAAGGAACAGCTCTGTGACTGCCGATCAGGGCAAAGCTCCAGGGTGGAGACCTCTGGAAAAATCTCCTGTAGAGAACTGCAGTATATGCATCTGGGGCTCCTGGGGAACCTTGGAGGGGGATGGAGATAAAGTCCGCAGATTGGGAGTGGGCGGACACTAACTCAGCAAGGTTAGCAAGGAGACAGGACCAACCAGAGCCCCTGCTCTTCAGGACAGGCTAATGCCTGGCTAGATGGCACCAGCTCAATGGCCAAATCTCAAGGGGCAATGGCAAAGGGAGACCTTACCAGGGGAGGCATGTGCCCTCGGTGCATCTGGCCGCTGGTGATCTGCAGCTGAGGCTGTGGCATCGTGCCCACTTGGAAGTTCTCTGGCCCTCCAGCCCCTGTCCGCATGATGGCTGGCAGGGCCACTGAACCCAGCTCTGCTTTGCCCACACGGTTAAACTGCTGCTGCAAGACAGTCGACCTGCCAAGGGAAGAAACACTAGCTGCAGCTGGCAGCATTTGGGGCACATTTCTACAGGAAATTAGGGATCCCTCCTGGGCCAGCACCTTGTCTGCCACCCACAACTTCATGGACAAGGCCAAGCCCTTAGTGTAAACGGATCTCCATGGCCCTGGCCCCAGCGTTCCTGGGAAAATTGAAGGTAAAGGATTGGCAGCTCTCCTTGCAGACAGTGCAGCAGGTTTGGTTGGAGCATTCAACTTCTGTTTAGTATCTACCTTTCTCTGGACTTACTTCTTAGGGGACACAGAGTCTTCCAGCATGGTGGACTCCTCATCTCCCTCCAAGCCAAAGTGGTCTTTGCTCTTTTTCTGTGGAGGGAAGACAAAATGTATCAGTCAGCATACACCTCCCAGGCTCCCCCATTTCCAGTAGCCCAGATTAGGGTGCCGTACCAGGCCTATGGGACCCCCTCGCCCCTGCATGTGCCTGTCTCCAGCCTCTCCCTGCAAGGTTGTGAGCCAGCAGCTCTCCATCTGGAGCTGCATCTTGCACCTCATTCAGGTGAGGAC